TCACTTTTCTTTCCTTGGGAAACATTAGGTGAAGGACTTTATCTAAACACACACCTTCTTCCCCTAAACCAATTGTTAAATTTCTCAATAAAAGTCTATGTTTTATTTAGCTCCCAATGACTGAGTACAATCCTATCCCTCTATTAACTTCAACGCACTAGGTTTCTGAGTTTTATCAAAAACAATTCAGCAGAGACCACACAGGGAGGAGGCTACCCTGCTGGCTGGCCCACAAGAGAAGTGAAAGTCAACATGCTGATAAATTAGGGCACACGCTACCAATTTTTGGTAAAGGCTCCTTCCCTTCCCTCTTCCCCACTCAGCACCCAAAACCTCTAAGGAAACCTCTCTGGAGTGTCCATTCAGGATGAAAGCTGGCCCTTTCTGCTCAGGAGCACGGAGACTCAACCACCGTGCTCACACCAGAGAACCTAGGCAGCAGGGGACATCGTTCACGCTACACCTGAGAAGTAAGGCCGCTGGGAGACAGAAAAGGTGGAGCCACTCACACAGAGTTTGGCCTCTGTAGTACTCACCCCCATCTGAACATCAGAACCCCTGGAGAGCCTTGGGCAGAAGAGGGAACTCAAGTCAGGCAGCCAATCCAAGCCAAGTAAGAAGTTGGGAAGTGGTGCCAGGTCCTTACCCTGTTGATCTGCCAGATGTTCTGCCCTGTTGATCTTACCCTGTTGATCTCCAGATGATCTGCCGGTAGAGCTGAGAACCACTATCCTACAAGAAAATGTCTAAAGGGCTGGCAAAAGCCATTTATGATCTCACTTCCTTTTCTTCTGGTTTTGAGAATGTGGAAGGGACAGAGAAAGACAGAGTGCAGAGACTTGGAAAATGGCAGCCATGACGATGGACCCAGTCAAACCACATACATTTTTGGTTAGGGAGGGTGGGGGGAGGGGAGAGGAAGGCTTTATAAGAAATAGGACTTAAAAAAAATCAAAAGGAAAATATATTCTTAAGAGCTGAAAGAGTCAAAAGCCACACATATGCACTCACACACACTGGAGACACATTTTTCCTGTCCTCCTCCCCTCCGAAGAACAAATTTTCAAGCAAATAGCTGTACATAGGCACGTGGGTTCCAAATGTCAGGAACAAGATGCTAAGGCAATTCCGCCCCATCTGCGAATGATTGTGGATACTACATGGCTGCGCCTATGCATCACCTTAAAGAAGAAAGAGCAGAGTGGAAAAATGAAACATCCAAACGCAGTAATAGTTTTTCCTCTCCTATTAAGCATGATCTGAAACCTCACTAATTATTTCCAGAAGAAACTTCTCTTGTAACACTATTCCTGAGCACAATTTAGTTCTTAGGCAACCAGAACTACATGTACTGGCAGTAACACTGGAGGAAAAGTCTGTGACTAAAAGACATCCCCCACCCCCCAGCCACCCCCAGTGATGAATTCCAAGCACAAAAAAACAATGAAGTTTTTGGTGGGAATTTCATAATTCAGCCTTACTGCTTTCCCAGTCCCATCCAAACTAATCACAAGCTAGCCAATATTCCCTGAAGACTATCAGATATAAGCTCTTAAATCGTCTAGTATTTTAAAGCAAACACACACACACACACACACACACACACACACACACATACACACACACACACACACACAAAACACCCTACAGAATTAGTAAAAAAACACTCACAGTTATACAAAACCCTTCAAATGAAAATATCAAGGAAGAGATTTTATTCGCTCAAATTCAAACATTAGTCAAAGGTAACTAACTGATGGTTCTCTAAGAGCCCAATTTGAAGCTCTTTGTTAATGTAACCTCATACCAGAAAACAGCTATTTATTGTGGCTTTCTTTGCCCCTCTTCCCCAAATCCATCTCTTCTGGCTCTGGTCAAATAACCAGTTCCAAATGTGCTCTGTTTCTCTTTGTTTTTCTCAAAAGGGAAAAAATTAATGGTCAAGTGGGTTTAATTTTTTAATTGGCCCAAGAGCTCTAAACACACTGTATTAGGTGGGGTGGGGGAAACGCAAATGGAATGTTCTTGAGACTAGATGCCCATTAAACACACATCACAGGGTCCAGGCCTTTGCTCAGACAGTTCTTAAATTCTATGGAGGTCAGAAGTTTAGTTTATTCAGCAAGAATAACTCTATTAACAGCTCTAACTCCTTCGCGTCACCACAGTAAACATCTACACATTCCAAATGCTGGAAAATGTGCGGCAGTAAAAGGCCAGGGCTGCTGCGGGCGCCAGCAGCGAGGCTGACCGGCCTGCCCCCCAATAAGCGGCCAGAGACATTTCCAGGAATGGGCAGATCGCGACACATGAAAGCAGGGAGACTGACTTTTCAGAGGTTAGGGTGAAAATGGTGACAATTCGTATGTCACAAGCAAATGATACCAATGACAGGAACACAAAGCTCTGTGAGCGTAGGCGCAGAGTATTAGTGAGCCCATCCGCTCCCTCACTGCTCCGCTTCCCACACACAGATTTCTCTTCTAAACAAGCACGTCTTTTACTAGAAGCGAAGGTTAAAAGTCACAAGCAAGCAGCCTTCTAAGTAAAGTGAAAAATAACCCAGACCCTACAGCTGTTGCAGCGATGCTGGGGCTAATTTGACATCACCCACCCAGGGAGCCCTCTCTACGGGAGCTCTGTGCTGCCCTGGTCAAGACCAAGGACATCGGGAGAGGTGATAAAGGCCTGGGCGCTAAGTCATTCCTAGGAAATTAAAGATGCAGCTTCAGCTGAGTGACTACGTAAAATTATCCAGGAACACTTTGTGAATGCGTTGTGCTTTTCAAACCTTGTTGTACTCCCAAAGCTGGTACCTAAGCTAGTCTGGCTGTGACTTGATTGATAATCGATACTTTCCATGCAAGGTGCCAGTGTGAAATTCTCATTCTCCGCTTCCTCTCTAGGGAAGGGAGGGGAGGGTGAGCTGTGTAAGAAGCCTGCTGTACAGTTACTCCCTAGGAAAAGCCTGTTCTCCCCAGGGGCAACACTTGCCCCCAAGGGTGTCCCATCAAGCCAGATGAGACCCAGCTCTGCCCACCTGTCTCCCTCCCTAGGTGGAATAAAGTTATGATTTTGAACAGCTTCCTAGTTTGAAGGCCAAATAGGGAAGGGGTCCCTAAAACCCCCAAATTTCTGAAGCCAAAAGTAAATTTTGTTACTGTTGGGAGGAATCACTGCAGGCAATACTCTGGATCAAACCCAGGCCTCACACAGGGCAGATGGGGGTTCTCTAAGTCTTAAGCCTCAGGTTTGACACCAAAAATAACCTCCAACCAAGGCTTCCATTTCCACAAACAAGCACTCTCCACATCCAGTGTTTTCATTCCCTATTTCCAGTTCCCTCTTACACAATTATTCCGTTTGGCTGTGCAGGGGCACCACACCAGACCTAGGATGGGACCCTGGTGTCCTGCATGAAAAGCACATGCTCCAGGCCATGGGGCCAACTCCCCAGCCCCAATATCAGAATTGTTTTTCCTTACTGACACAATCTGCAAAATTTCCCCCTTGCATTGTGTGTGTGTGTGTGTGTGTGTGTGTGTGTGTGTGTGTGTGTGTCTGTATACATATGCTGTAAGTATATTGATGCAACATGGAGAATTCAGGGAGTTTTCTAAGAAGTTCTATTTTTCTACCTTGGGCTGTGTTCTGCCTTCCAACAGTTATGCTCACACCTGCCACCCAATGTCCACTCTTTGTGTTTCTTGCCTACCATTCCCCAGCTTCACTACCCTCAACTCTTCTTTCAATCACTTCTTTCCCAGCATTCCACTCTCCCATCTACTCAGCATGCCTTGCCATGTATTTCAGTTTCTCCTCTAAGGGTTTCAGTCCTCTGTTCTTCACCTCCACAGGGAACCTAAACCATGATTTTGCATCTCAGACTCTTAGTACCTCTCATCTTTACCTTTCATCCTCTCCCAAAAGACCATGCTAATGACAAGGGAATCCTTATTGGCAAAGTAATCTTTGACATTGACACAGGAATCTTTATTCCTACCAATAATCTAGCTCTGATCACAAGAATGTTGTGTGTCCAGAGATAGCTCAGGCGTCAGGAGTGCATGTGCGGCTGCTGCAATGACTCCAGTTCAGTGCCCTGTATCACAGGGGCCACCTGAGAGATGCCTGGGTAGCCCTGGTGGTGACCAGCACCACTGCAGCCTCAGGTGTCAGCAAAGAACCATCAAGTCTGTTGATGGAGTTTGTCCAGGAGGGCTCTCCAGGCCCCTCTATAATCTTCACTTTCCTTTGTTTCCCCAAGGAATTCCTTCTCTACTCTTGGTGTGTAAATACGCAGTCTCCATAAAGGGCACTGGTACCCAACCATCCCATGCCAGGAGAAGTGAGCAACCAGAGTGGACCCTCTGTTACCTTGGCTCTGCTTTTCACTTCCAATCTCAATGAGAGACAATAAAGCCTGATTAATTTCTCTGGGGCCTTGCCAGATTGATTTTACAATATGCCCTTGCCAGATCACCAATTGTACTGGAAGAGGCAGGGAGATGGCTCTGTCTCCAGCCCCAAAGAGAACTTGAGCAGCTCAACTGAGCTCAAAGGTGTAAGCCGGGCTTCTTTAGCTCCTTTGCATCAAGCAGTCACAGTCAGGACACAGCAAAGAACCTGGCTCAACACAAGAGATCTCAGCAACACAAACCACCATGTCAAGACAGATCCGTAAATGTGCTAAAAAAGTGAACTTGACTCATTTCCCAATGCCTCTTGGGAGCCAGGGGAAATGCTCAGCCTACTCTCCAGTACTTCCTTCCATGTGAGTGCCTATAGCAGAATACTACTTTGAAACTTGGTTCATCCTGGATGCGCGATTCACCAAACCATAACATGGTTGTTCTGTCAACAACATTCCAAACAGGAAACCCATTTATTGTGCAGAAGACACTAAATATTCCCCTGACAGGCAGACACAAACACAAAACAGGGGAGAGGAGCACAGGGGTGGGGTGGGGGGAGAGGAAAAATAAATAAATCGTATTTACCTTCTTCTGTTTCATGCCACACGATCCCTTCCAAATTCACACTGGTCCCCGGTTCACAGGGCCCGAGACACTCCGGCTCTGTGACTACTCCAACTTCACACGTATTGACACCCACAGAACGAGTCCGAACCAAAAGCTGTTCGACCGGTGCTGCAATATTGGATGAAGATGGGGAAAAGTAGGAGGGTAGAATCTGAGGTGCGAGACTGCTGGAAATCGGTGGTGGCGGTGCTGGCACTGTAAACAGGGGGTCAACCTGAAAGACAGACAAACTTACTGCAGAGGCGCTGCATTTGGGGACGGCTTTTCAATGCAATCTGTTTACATCACTTCTAAATACATCACTCTTCCAAATCCCATTTGTGATTCTAACACGCACTCAGAGTTGTAAGGGTGCCAAAACATACAAGAGAACAGAAATGAGCATTTGCTTTCTTTCCTGTTAAATAAGGAAAACATTGCATCTCCAGCTTCCAGAACTACAGGACAGACCTTCAGTGTCCTCCTAAACTCACCAACAGACAATCTTTTAGCCTCAAAAGGTGTCAATGAGATTTTTTTAAATTAAGAAGATTTCCCACTTGGACCGAAATCTTATTTTCAAAATGCCAACATTTTCCCAAGGAGAAATGCCAATATACTGCACATACACATCGTTAGGCATTTTAAGCACAGGAGATGGGTGAAAATTTGTTTGCAAAGTACTTTAGAAACGGTAATGAATTAAGTCACTACTAAAATATATTAACTTACTCTACCGAAGCTATAAGTTACATAAATTTAATTATACACACTGAAAAAAACACAAAAACTGGATATTATTAGCAGGTATTCAGTATCAAGTCCTAATTAATTTTACTGCAAACTTTCACGGAATTTATGTAACTGCGTGCCCCCCAATAACAGCTTATTTTATTTTGCTGTGCCAGCGATCAAACCCAGGATCACACATGCAAGACAGGCAGCCCAACCACTGACCCACAGCTCTAACCACTCCAAACTGACAGCTGAGTTTCTCCAATGCATGAGTCCTCTACAGGGTTCAACTGCTGAGTCAAACAAGACTCCACCATCTTGTGTTAAATTCAGGAAAGAGAAATGGAAGCTAATATTAGTCCCAGAGGACAGTTACTCCTTTTACAATCCCTATTTAGAGGGATTGTAACAAAGGAATATTTCACCATGAAAAGTGTAAGAGTTCAGCTATCAAGAAACCAAAAGGCACACAGGCATTAACTAGTTAAATCATCACTCACTCCTTCACTCATTTCCTTCTTCATACGTTCGTTCACTCAGTTCATGTTAACAACTATTAGGACTGTTAGGGAATAGCAGCTGTGAGAACACAATGTAAAGCACATCTACACCCAGGACTGCAGGTTCCCTGTGTCCTTAGGTCACAAAAAGACACCACTGCCTACCATCAGAACAACAGCCTGAATGTTCTAGCAGCTGCTAACCAAATTGCTGCAGGAAGAGGCTTCTGTGGTAAAACACTATCTTGGTCTGTTCATGTATTTTCCCTGAATCTACAAATGAACCCTTGGGGGGGGAGGGGGCGGGAGGGAGCCATAATGTTATAGAGCCTTTGTGGTTTGAAAAATGCATCTATCTAAAAAGAGTGCATCTCAAAATAAGTCACATGAGGAAGTGCGCTCCCAGTTAAGCAGCTGAAGCCGTCATCTGTGTGGGCTCCTTGTTCATATGACTGGAGCAACGATTTCTACAGTTTTCATTTCGCTGTGATGATAAACTGACGTTCACTTGCCTGAGTGATCCAAGATGCACTAGAACAGCCCTTTATCCATCTGCATGTTAGAGAAACTTAATTTCCTGCTCTCAAAGCTCCCATAAAACTTTGCTCCATGCCTTTCATTGTTCTGCATTCTTGATCCCAGAGCCCAAGAAGAAAAGCATTTCACAGCCCCCAAACCCCATGACTGGTGATTTATGCTTTCATGTAAATGCAGCTTAATGTGGATCAAAGTTCATGCTGATAGTTCCTATTTTAAAAACGAAGCTGACAAATGAAAAAAAAGAGTTCTAAGGAAGAAAATTTAAGGGATGGGTAGAGATTAAAAGCTCCATGGTAGTCTTTATTACAACTAAAAGATTGTGTGAGATTAGAATCACGTTCCAGAATTAAAAAAAAAAAAAAACCACAGAAGTATAAACCACTAACTGCACTTTTTTTCCTGTTTCCCAACAACCTCTTAATTTGTATAGTTAGTTGTAAATTGGCAGTAATTTGGAGCTACACATATAAAATGAAACAATATTCTCAAAATCTCCTTTAAATCAGTTAATTAACAGCCTCTATTAGTTCCAAGAGAACAAATATAGCTTCAATTGGATAAACAAGACAATGGAATTGCATAAAAGAGAAATCTGAGAGGATATTGATTCTCTGATTTTGCAAATGAGCAGAAGTTACATGGGCAAAGCCTGTTGGGCCCCAACTCTTGACAGTTAATTTGGTCTGTGACCCTGGACCTTGTAAGCCTTGCAGAGACCCATTTCTGCAACAAAAATGTATTCTTAGGCCCTCTAGGGTGGATGTTATGTCCTATCACAAAAGAATTTCTAAACTGTGTCTATTTCAATGTCAAACTGTTTATTTGCTGTATATCTATAGACAGATCAATATCCACATATCTACACACACTCATATACTATTTGAAATGTCTATTAATTTCAAAGGGCAGATTCCTAAAGGATTTCCATCATGGGAAATGTAGGGGCTAAGGGAAAAACCACCATGTCCTACCACCAAGTTGGGTCTATTTCCATTCCCAGACTCCAAGCAAGGCAGCTGGCTTCAGTGACATTTATAAAGAGGGTCCTTGAAACTCTGTCCTCCTTGCACACGTTTTAAAATGAGACCAATTCAGAGGGTTGGGTGAGAAATATGAACATGACAAACAGTCCCAAGTGAGGCAAGGTCTGAAACCTTGACAGGTACATTCCATGAAACAGATAGGTCATCTTGCTTAGTGGTTCTCTGCTTTACACAGGGAAATTTCTGTTCTTATTCTGCAGGCTTCCTGAGGTTAGCTCAAAACTGCCTCCTGCAGAAGTTGAGGATGACCATTAACAGTGAGAGAATACATTTCTCCATTCTTGGGCTCTGAGGATTTTGGGCTTTGGAAGGAAGAATGAAGACCACCCACATAGTCAACTGGTATTTTCTCTTCCTTGTGGGGGGAGGGGTACCACAGAAAACAGAATGGGGAGTGACAGGCACTCCCAGAGGTGTTGTATTTGGCAGATCTAAAACCTTTACAAATATTTCCGTCTTCAAATATTTCCGTCTTCAGCCAGCAAAGAAACTCAAGGAAAAGTCTGAATTCCACTATCTCTTAGAATAACAGTTGGAGGCTATGCTATTCTGGGCACAAGCAGCTGAGTCTGCATTTCCAGTTCTACCCTCAGGGACAATCACAGAATGTTTTTGTTGGGTCAAGGTCATCTAGCCCAACCAACTCCTTGTGCAGAAAAAAATGTCCCCTTATTTGTGCCAGGGCAATAAGCTATCTGGTGTGACAACCCAGTGGAGCTAAACCTACAGGGACGAGCTACATCCTACAAGGGAAAATTGACATGAGGAGCTCAACACGCTAGAAGACAAAGCGTTTAGGGGGAAATAATTCGGTGGGTCCAATACCATCTGCAAACTAATACTCCCATTAGGAACTGTTCACCACCAAAAGGTTTCAGTTCTCCTGTGTGTGCATTGTGACGCTCTCACAAAAGCCCGGGGCAACATATGCAAAATAGGATTTTAAAGTCTTTTTAAGCCATCATTTTTTTGCCATATGAAAAAGATCAACTCCACTGTACCCTGAAATCTCAGCTCACTGAGCCATATATTGAACTGTAATTTTTCAACCACTGCAGCTGGTGGAGACAGTGGATAGCAACAGTGGCCACCAACGCTGCCTCTGTGGGGGAAACAGCCTGCACTTGTGCTGAGGGTTGTGCTGAGTTCAAATCCTGTGCTGTTATTTGCTCTGTTGTAAGCTGATTGATTTACCTGGGTACTTTGCTCAGGCTCTGGATCAATAAAACATGGGAAACACACACACACACACACACACACACACACACACACACACATACACACGAGCATGCGCAAGTCCACCCCCACACACCACACACACACACACACACACACACACACCCCTCCATCAGTGAAAGACTCAATGAGATGTTCAGCAATATGACTGCTTGAGTGCCCAGCTCAGTAACCACTGACTCTGAAATCAAGGGAAAAGTCCCTGGCCTGATATAACCATTCTCTAGCCCTGCATGCTACGATACAAAGCTCCTTTTTATATCCTACTATATTTAACATAAATCTATAATCCCCTCCAAATGCATGGTTAAGTGTGGTTAAAGTGTGTTCAAAGTATAAGAAAGAGGGCTTAACCCTGAGCGGCTCAGCCCGGGGAAATGCTGCTCTTTCACGCACTGGCATCTGGCAGCCGTCGGCCAACTTAATCCACCCTCCATTGCTGAGTAGGCCCTGAGAAATTCTTCACTTTCCCTGAATTTCTTCCCACTGTCTCCCATGGCCTCCCACTCCCAGTCTCCTTTCAGTGACCTACACTGGCTCACCTATGCAGCCAATAATTTCCACACACCAGCTGTGTACCAGGCGTGGTGCAGCCTGCTAGCAAAACAAGGGCCAGTGGGGTCCCTAGGCGCCTTGGATTACTGCTTACTTGGCAACATAGGGGCTCAAAATCAAAAAAATCAGACACACACAACATTACAACTGGACCTGTAAAACCACAGCCAAACTGCTGTCCATGCATTCTGCCAAAATGTGAGACACAAGGCACGTGGGGGGAGATGGTGTGGTACAGGGACCTGTCCCCAGAGCCACAATCTCAACTCTACCTTTTAGCTGCATAACCTTATTGAGTAATCTGGGGTGGAGAGAGAAGGAGATCACAGGCCTGGAGCCCGCACAGGGAGTGGCCAGGAGTGACCCATGGGTTTCCTTTCTTGCTGGAATGTAGCTCCCAAATAAAACGTGTCACCTGATTTCTCTGAACTCAGTGGCTTCATCTGTGAGATGGATATAACATCTGGCTAATGTGACTTACATGAGATCATATACAGCACCCCTCCTGCCCAACACAGCTACGGTGATTGTCAATATCATCTCTTTTTTTTTTTGTCATTATTGTCTTTAATACAGACATACCGGAGGCCCAAACTTAAAAAAAAAATAAATAATAATAATAATAA